GTAATGAAAATATGAAATTAAGTTATATTTTGTTAGTTAACATTGAATCATATAATAAAATTACCTGACTAACTAAACAAAATAACCTGATTATACATGATCACTTGTACACTGATGTACATATCTGATAAGTTACTAATAGTTCTATCGATTCTAAACTAACCTCATTGTATAATTTATTTTACAAAATACTAACATATTCATAACATCATTAAAGAGGAAGAATGTATTTATAAAATCTCTTTAATGTCTCACATTAACTCAGCGCCCAAATATTGTGAAACTATTCGTTCAAATTTAGACGAAAGTTCTAATTTATTATTCATAATATCATTATTAGGAATTGATTATATGGCTTACTTTACATGTTATTTATCCTATAACTTATATCTATCAGTTAAATAATAAGCTTAAACCAAAATATTATAAGTAACAAAATAAGCAAAAATGTAATATTGAAAGTTTATTATGTTATTTAATAATTCTTACTATTTACATTATATAATTATGTAACATACTAAATATGTAATGGTGTATTTCATTTTTTACATGAATTTTAACTGTTATTTTTAGAATATGACATGACATTTAATCAAGGGCGTTTATCTTATAATTTCAATAGTTGAAATCATGAGTAAATTGAAGCTAGACCAACATGGAAAACCTGGAAGCACTAGAAGGCTGTCTAGTCCTATTGTGGGACTCCTCAGTAGCGCGCATCCACGATCCCGTCCTTCTTCTGCGAGATTCGAACCCAGGACCTATCACTCTCGCTCGTGAGCGCTTAACCATTAGACCAATGAGCCGGCATCCTACAGTGTTATTGCCTAACTTCAACCAATCTACGAAAGTGCATAAAGCAAAATATTACAAGTATCAAAACTAATCATATGGAATATTGAAAGTTTATTATGTTATTTAATAATTCTTACTATTTACATTATATAATTATGTAATATACTAAATATGTAATGGTGTATTTCATTTTTTACATGAATTTTAACTTTTATTTTTAGAATATGACATGACATTTAATCAAGGGCGTTTATCTTATAATTGTTTATTATTGAAGGATGAAATTATAATATACAATGGTATACAACAGTTCTGTATTAAAAACAAAAACAAAAAAGAAGAAAAAACAAAGAAAATTAATGACAATTGTTTTTCATTTTACTTCATTTATCTCAAATCAAAATAAAAACAAAATTGAATTGTTAAGATTAGAAATTGATTGAAATTAAGAAATTTTTTAAATATCAGATGAGTTTTGTGGATATTATAGTAATTTTAATAGTTAAGATCATGAGTCAATTGAAGCTAGACCACCATGAAAAACCTGGAAGCACTGAACGGCCGCTTCGTTTTATTGTGGGACTCCTCAGCAGTGCGCATCCACGACCTCTCCCCCTGCGAGATTCGAACCCAGAACCTACTGGTTTCGCGCGTGAGCACTTAACCACTAGACCACTGCTGAGGAGTCCCACATTAGGACGAAACGGCCGTCCAGTGCTTCCAGTTTTTCCATGGTGGTCTAGCTTCAACTGACTCATGATCTTAACCATTGAAGTTTTTTTTAAAATTTTATTTCACTTTTATTTTATTTAAATCAATAATTAAAATAAAATTATTTATTGCATCATTAGATAATCTTTAGAAGGTTGTATTCAGTTACTAATAGGTAAATAAAACACAATTAAATAGACTATTAGTATGTTAACTATTAATGAAAGAAATTTTGGTTTGTCTAAAATCTCAATTTGATAGATGACATAATTTAAATATAAATGTCAGTTTTATTTTCTTGAGGGTAATGATTAAAACATTATTTGGCGGAATATTTATTTTTGTATTTATGAATTGCTTAAAATGTTGTTATAGTATATGCTTAAATGGACGGTGGTATAGTTTTATAACATAATATAAAAGATTTATTTTATTTTGCTATGAAACTTTCTATCAGTGTGTTTCATATGAATATATATAAGAAAGGTGGTAACAATCCTTAAAAACGTTTTTCAATATCATGTAAGTTAGAGGAACAGGATGATATATATAACAATTAAATAAATTCAAGCTTTACACTAGATCTTCAGCAGATAGTTAAATATCCCAGTCTAATGTGAGACTCTTCAATAGTTATCTAAGTTTGCATCATATAATAGAATAAAACTGACTCTTGTTAAACTACTAATAGCATGAGATTCTCCTATTTATTTTATTTGAATAAGTTTATTTACTGATGGGGTAATTACAAAGATTATTTAACTTGTGTTGTAACAACCACATTATCTTACAAATAATATTTAGTGTTTTAATAAACTACTCTCCACCTACCTATACATTTGGTAAACACTAGTGAAGGGCTGTAACATCTAACATTCATATGTAGCAACTGGTATTTAGTGCTTATTAACTTCACTTATGTATTAGTAAAAAGTAACAATATAATAATTGTGTCGTACTCTACTTCAAGACAGTTTTCTATGATTATGATAATGATATTTCTTCCCATTGAAGACTGTACCAAAATTTATGAATCTAATAGATCTTCGATAATCTACATATTTTATTTATGATTTCATTCACAAATTTTGTGGATGACTGATTTTTAAAAATCTTACAGTAATTCACTCTTCAGTGGTTTAGAAATAAGTGATCTAACACATAGTCAACAAATATTTAAAACTAAGATATTTTGTAGGCAGCATTATTGTAGTGAACGTTTACTAACATAGTTTAATCCATCGATTAGTTGTTAGTGTCTGTCTTTATCCCGGCTCAAACAGTATTCACACAACGAGAAACGTCTCAGTTCTATTATGGAAGTGATGCCAATAATTTTAAGAGGAAGTATTTTTCTAGGCATACGGTGTAAATCAATATTCTATTCTTAGTGTTGGATATTCAACAGTATGATTTGACGTTCAGTGTAATAATTACGAATGAAAACTAATTATTGAAACGGATTTGCAAAACAAATCGACATATGAAAGGGTTCATTTCAGTTATATAAATCGTGGAATTCACAGTTTTATCTCAAGTTTTGTTTAATTGTTCAATAATAGCAAATCTCTATACTTCCTCCAATTCGCAGTAATTCAGTGAATATCAGAATCATACAAAACTGAAAAATGTACAAGCTTAATCTATTTTCAAACTGTACAGAGGTTATTGTTTTTGGAAATAGCGTAATGTCGTGTGCATTAACTTGAAACATCCAATTGTCTACGTTTTGGTAACAATTCTTCTGTGACTTAATAAATTTCGTTCCATGTGTTTAGTCGATGCCCTCATTCATTTAACTGTCATGATGTTAAAATTTTCCCGTTGTTTGGTGTTCTTCAAGACTTAATATAAGGTATTTCTAAGAACATATTGAGTTCTAAGACTGACATTTTTTGAGGCGAACCATTGATGTCTTACTAAAAACCAATCTTTTTTACCATGCTTTTTCCGTATAATTGCGTAAACAACTACCGCTTATTCAATCGAATCCCCAAAAGGTAAAATGTATGATCAGTACACCTGATTTTTCTAAAATAAATCTTGGTGATTTTCTTTATAGGTGAAGGAATAAGTATGTTTTCAAAGTCTTCTAACTGTTCCTATGCTATACTAGATTTCTAATATATGTTTACACCATACAAGATCTAACCGTAAAAGAAGATTTTAACCCTGAATTGTGGTATTTCTAGCTCATAAATTAACCATTTTATACTTTAAAGTTTAATAATATGACAGAAATTAGCATTTACTGACATTTTGAAATCTCCAGATATTTCATTCAATCAGGCAAGTTAGTTCATATGAGATACAAGTAAACCAGATGTAACAGGAAATCAATTCTGTTTATTAAGATTGATAACCAATTGCTTCATTTCTTTCAACTATCTAGTTTTTAATAATTTGAGAAGTAGTCAAACACAGAATAGTGTCCTAATATTATTGATCTAAACAAGAAATATATACGTCTTGGATTAGACTACATGTGTGATTAAGAGTGTGCCATGGCGAAGAATAGCACAAAATATCAATTATGTATATAATGATTTTCGATGGTTTGACAAACGATAAAGGTTGTGGTAACAAAGTACCATAAAATACATATGTCCTTTAAAAAAGTTCCCTCTATTCAACAACTCAAAATAACTAGTTTATCAGTCCAGAAGTATGGTTTAAGAGCTCTGAACATATTCATCTTAAATATTATTATACATATAATTTGTTCTCCTATTTTCAGGTTTAATAATTAGCAGTATCACCAAATATTTTTTGTTAGAGAATCCATTAGTTCAAAAAATAAATAACTAGAACGATAAGAGAACCAACATCTGGGATCAAGCTTTTTTGTATACATTATAAAATAGGTCTTACAAAACAAAGGATACGTTTTTACTATAAACATGAATGAAGCAACAAAAAAAAAAGAAATTAACGTTTCATTTCTCTTCAGTAATTAAAATGTAACAGAAATTCAATTCAATATATTTCGATTAATATAACGAATTAATTAACAGGCTGCATAATGAAGAGTGTTTCACCATCAGTATTGTATCATACTCTCACATTTATAGTATGTTTCACTTGTCAGTAAATACAATTTATGAATAATGATAGTGAATGAGAAAAATGTTCATGAATGAATAGTTCAGTTTACAATCATTTACAGAATAAATAAAGTATTAATTATTCTCTTCTAATATCATGTATATTATCCCTTTTTTTATTATTGTAACTCATAGGTCTTGTTGATTTGTTTGTTTTTATAGATCAATTATTAATATTTTTAAATCAATTTTATGAACAATGAACAAATATAATGACAACAGAGAAGTGTAGATAATTACTATTTACAAAATCAAACAGTACAAATTGTTAATTGTACGAAGTTAAGTGTTAAATATTCTATTGGCTTTGTGATATAAATTTGTTGTTGTTTTAGATTTATTTATATTTGAGACATTTTTATTGTATGTAGTAAGGGATCAATAAAATGTTCAATGCATATACTTTACGGTGTACTCAGGTGTAGTAGTAGCTATAGAGGTGGTGATCGTTAAGCTATTGGAATTACTATTATTATTATTATTTACGTTACTACAGTCGATTTCTTTAACACTAGATAATGGAGTATATACATGAACTAAAGATAAATTGACTGGTTGTTTGTCATAAATATCATTCATTGCACTATTTAACCAAATCGATTGTGTTATAGGAATAAAAGACATAGTTGTTGTTTCAAGACTGTCACCATTTCCACTATCTTGACCAAGCGATGTGAGACTATTTCGTTTTGACTAAAATCAGAATAAAAACAAAGAAAAATATCCATATATCAAATTCACTTTAGTGTTATAATATTATAATAATGTTAAAATGTTTACATGTAAACAAAATACAAATCCATATTTACCAAATGGCAAAATGGGAATTTTCACTATATTGAAATCCATATTTATGTTATATCCCGATGAGGAAAATGAATGGTAACTTTTGGGACCCAAATATGGAACAATACTATACTTATAATTTTATCGTATAATTGATAAATAACTAAACTATTCATATTCGTATTCTTTTAATCATAAGCTTTATTTTGATCTATGAACTGTTATTATGCGATTTACCATTCTTGAATTATGCCCAATTACTACCAAGTACTATCTCCCACATTCACAGCCACATTTGGTTAAATCCTGTACAAATGTTGTTTCCCATTTTATGATACGATGTGGTCTGTCTGGTTTGTATATAAACCTAGTATATTTGAAATAAATGATTGATATTGCAGAGGTTGTGATTAGTGTTCTGGAGTTAACAGGCTGGCTGAGCTAGTTTGTAAGCAGGACGGATAAGGACTGTAGACTGCTCGTAGTTGTTTTCTGCGTCATCGGTCCGACTGACGATTCATTGTTCTTTAATTAGTGGTATCATTATATTATGCATTATCAGGGCATATAGGCCACAAGTTATGTCAATTTCAATCATTTTTTGGAGATAAAATTAAGATATCTGATTCTTATTGATAACATCTTAAAAACATTGTGAAATACTCTGACAATCAAATGATAACAAGTCATGTCTGTGTATTACTGAATAGTAACAGACTAGAAGAAAACAACTATTGAGGATTCAAACTAAATTAATTGGATAAAATAATGATAAGTGAGATAATTACAAAATCAATTCATCACATCTATGTAGGTAATAGGTTTTAAGACATGAATCCTCTACAGCAGTCTACAATTTACAATTCACTTTCTTATGTAGTCATATGTAGATAAGAATAATATAGATTAGGCAAATTTACAATACAGATTGGTTATGTCGAGAAATGAATAGACATTTTATAATGACAGCATATTGTTCAATTTATAAAGTGGTTTTGATTATTTAAATTATAATATCATTATTACCTATGATACTATCGTAGGATATTTGCTTGTGTTTATTAAGTTTTTAATTCGTTAAACATGTAATATCAATTAAATAATTTTCATTAACAATTACTTGTTGTAACATAAGTTGTAACCATAGTCATTTGTTATTATATTGATTGTAAAAGTGAGTACGATGCAAAGACACAATTGATTATGCCTTGTACTTTCAATAGAATAAAATCAATAGTTAAATACGTAAATATTTTAGTTACTGAAAAACAGTTAGAATCATTGAATGAGTCAAAGATAATAAAATGAAAAGACTAGATGGAATAAAATTGAGAAAGTTGAAACATAAATCATTTTGAAATGGATGACCAACATAATAATAATAATAATAATAATAATAATAATAATAAATAATAGTAATACATACATAATAAAAAGAAAAAAAATGAGTAAACTAAAAGTACAATACGATTTACTATTCTGTGTGATAATGCATAGCTCCCGATTAGGCTATAGTGACTCACGTGCAATCGAGTTTAGTTCAGTCAAGGTCTTTTGTTGACCTATTTAATGGACAAAGTCATCCATGATATAACAACTTGTACTATCATTATTATTATGCTTGTATGAAATACATATGCTTGAACATTGTTTAGCGCCTACGCATGTATTCATTCTGCTAGCTTCATTATTAACTGCTTAGTCTATTCGCTGACTCATCCATTTTCCTATACATATATATATATATATATATATATATATATATATGTGTACATTTGCACCCATTCACTACTACTACTGCTACTGCTACAATCGTAGTTCACTTGCTCATTCATTTTGCCTCTGTGCTGTCTGGTCCGAATTATCTGCTAAATAAACTGTAGTAGCTGCTTCTTTTTGCCTTCTGATTTCAAACATCGTTGAAGATTATACGATAACGGTTCGAGGGTGATTAATTATCGAAGCACAGCCACTACAAGGCTTTAATTTGTAATCAATATTTCAATTCCTTATTTCTATATAACTCAGTAACATGAAAAAAAACTCGCGTTTGACTGAACGGTATGTTGGAAGGATATTGAAATTTATTTGATTATAATCACTGGTACCAGAACATTCTACTATATTTTAATTATTTAGTAACATACTAGATATAAATAGGTAAGAAATCACATACACGTTAGCTGTTAATTGCTTGACAAAGAGAATGATGTTATCAATTTATTATTTCCTTATGGAAGTATTCACAAAAAAAAGATATTCTCATTATTTTAATACAAATAATTACACATTGTTTATATAAAGTAAGAAATTGGAATTGATTAAATGTCAATTTCTATGGAATCTACTGATTAGAATGTGTTTAAATATTGTTTAGATCTCAATTAATTACTATGCACAATTTTAAACTGTCGGGAATTATAAAATTATGTAATATAAGATTTTAAGTCCATCTGTTTGGGTTAATTTACAAAATTTTCTATGTCGTCGTATCGTTGTAATTATTGTACATCTTATTTTTTAATATATTGATTGAGATTAAGCATATATACCATTGGATCTCGGCTTAACCATCTAAAGGATAAGGATTTGCGCTCAAAACGGAAGGCTCAGGGTTCGACTCCCAGCTACGATTTCTTGAGTACCTACAGCTAAGGAGTCCAATGCTAGGACAAAACGGCTATTTAGCTTTTCCATGTTTTTAGTAGTATTTTTTAGCTTAGATCAGTTAGTTATCTTAATGAAAATATTTAAAGCTTCCTAATTATGGCTATTACTTTTGTTATTCTCTATTGTAACTTGATACTGTTTAGGAATATGTTTTTATGTACTGTTTTAGCTTTAAGCTATTCTTAAATTATAACCAATGATGGATGGTTGCTAGCAGTGGAATCCAAGGCGCGAGTTTCGTCCTATTTAGGACTCGTCAGCTGGATGTACCTGTATCCTAGTGTTGATGTTTACTCCACCACTCGAATCCAGTACTGTTCGCTTCAAACACCATCGAGTTATCCACTTAGCTACTGAGTTCTGATAGACACTAGCTTATGTAATGGGATGAAGTGTGAATTTATTTATTTGCTGAAAAATGATTATTACCTTTGTTTTTACTATTCATTTCTCAACATAAATATATAACTTGAATAATTTTCATGTGTTACATATTTACCTTCACGTGTACCTACTTTTGTGTTTAAAACTGTATTTCATTAAAAATTTTACCTACCAATATACAGGAAGTGATAATGCGTTTCCAACATAATTCCTGACAAGTGAAAAACAACCTGGTTGTCATTAATGGTGAGGAAACATGGAAAAATACTACTCATCACACTGTGCTAAAATATTTGTGATAAATAAAATTAGCTGAAATTATTTCACAATAGTATATAGATACGTAATATGCTATAACAATTTGATTGGCATATAGGATGAGAGTAGTATTGAAAAACCGCTTACATTCATGTATCACGTTTATGATTAAATTACGCATTAAATAATAGTTGTCATTTAACAATAGTTCAAATATCCTGTTATCTATCACTTTAAAAAAAAGATATATTGTATTATATAGAATACAATGGAATATATCCGATTAATCATTGATTACTTAGTCAATTATAAGAGATGAATCACATGAGTACCTGAAATTTGTCATTCATTGAAAACTTCATAGCTATTCACACTTTTAATTTAATACTTGACCATACTCTTCAAGAATATTGTATAATTGGTAAGTTTCGATAAAGTTGACATTACAAAACGAAATATTATTTTAAAACAAAAGCACAATGAATAGACCCATGTCATAAAGGTAGAGCAACCTTTACTGATAAATAAGCATACGACCTTCAATAATTAAGTCTATTCAATGTTCTGCATAAATTAACCTACATGAAACTTTGTTCTTATTCATGATCACAAAAATCTGGAGTAAAAACATGATTTATTACATTTGACAAAGTTCACTGTAGAGTAATAATCACAATGAAATTGTTGTAACTGTATTTGGTTGTGAGAAGTTAAAATACAGACAATTAAAAGCTTGTAAATGAAGGATAAGCAGCGACTGATCAATTTAGTACATATATCTCTTTTATGTATTTGATGATGTTGATGTTCAGATAGTGTAAACTTTACATTTAAACCATCCTCTCAGAGAAAACAATGCTTCCGACAAAGTTATCCTAAGTCACAAATATTCCACTTCATCTCACAAATGATCATCTCGTTAAAGATTTTAAACAACAAGTAAACTTTATAGATTTTTCTGACGACTCATAAGTTTACGTTCAACCATGGATTATATCGATTCTAAATTACAATTGATATTTTGAGCTGGAATTGTTTGATATTTTACCGGAATTTTTTCTCTTTTCTCCTTTTCTCTTTACTTCATTTATCTCTTTATTATGCCATCTATCTTTGGTGTGTTGGGCATAGGCTACCAAGATTAAATTTCATGCTACATAAGTAATATTTCAGTTAATTCGATACAAAGTTATTAGTCAATTTGATAATTACACATTGTACATCAAATTTACATTTTTCTTTTAAAAGTTGCCTATTTAGTAAATTAGTCAAGCTATTACTTGTTCATTTATTTGTGATGTATACTTATCATAAGACTTAATCAAATTTAAATAATTCTCTATAGATAAAACAAAAGCATCATATTAACAGGAGAAAATGGTAATTTTTTCATTAAAATCATGAACCGATTGATGTTAGACCACCATTGAAAAGTCGGAAGCACTGGACGGCCGTTTCTTCTTAATGTGGGACCCCTCAGCAGTGTGCATCCACGATCCCGCCCACGGGATTCGAACCCAGGGCCTTCAGTCTGGCGCGCGAACGCCCAAACTACTGGACCACTGAGCCGTTATCCGATGGTTTCAATATCTAAC